ACCTGTCCAATGGTGGCGGATAACGAGGAGCACCGTGGTCTCCTCAGCCTTCCCCAGGCCCGGGGCCTGTTTCTGGTTCTCTCTGGTGGGCCAGCACTCGGCCCCCAGCACCCAGTGTCCCAGTGTCCCTGACAGCTGGCCCTCTGAAAGCAGACCCCTAGCCCGGCCGGCGTGGCTCAGTGGTTGAGCATCGAGCCAGGAGCCAAGAGGCCCCGGATGGATTCCCAGTCAGGGCACATGCCCAGGTTGTGGACTCGATCCCCTGTGGGGGGCGCGCAGGAGGCAGACGATCAACCATATTTCTCTCTTATCGTGTTTCTATCTCTCTACCCCCTCCCTTCCACTCTCTCTAAAAAAGCAAAGAAATATATATATTTTTTAAAAAAGCAGAGCCCATGACCCCTCTGTGAACCTCTCACAGCCCCTCACAGGTGTCTTTTGTGAGCGGGTGGGGGCAGAACTGGGGCTGAGGCAAGACTTCCCTGGGGCTCAGGGCTGGCCTGGGACCCGTCTTAGGAACCCCGAGGCCCAGGCAGCTGAGCTCCCCACCCCCAGGCCCAGCTGTTGTTTGATGACTCCAGGGCCAGGCCTATCCTCAGGAGAGTCTTTCTCCTGGACGCCTGGCCAGCGCCAGCCCAACCCGGGCAGGAGGGGAAGGAAGGCGGCCTTGGACCAGGGGAAGTTCTGGCAGCCGGGCGGCCGGCCAGGCTCCTGTCTGACCGGGAACCGCATCAGAGCTGCGCACAGACAATTGGAACCCCCCCGAGGACTCCTGCTGGACCTGGGCCAGCCTCAGCGGGCTCCGCTCAAGGCCACGGAATGAGCCCTGACTCCGGTCACAGCCTGAACCGCGAGCCCCGATCTCTGGAGGCCTGACCCTGCTGGTCACAGGCGGAGTCCAGCTGGCAGTGTGGTGCGCTCCATCCTTTAAAAGGCCTTTCGGCTACCACCAGACCCTGGACGGATGACAACAAGTGCACATTTTTAATACACTGCTGGGCTTACAAGAAGTAAATATCCCCGAGGTCCCTCCAGAATTAAACACTGCAAGTGGATAAACAGGAGAAAAGGGAGCAGGCCCAGGACGATGCAGGAAAACAAGTGGGGGAGCAGCATGTTCTCTGGACACAGGGCGGGAGAGCCACCCTGCAGCCGGAGAGCCGGGGCGGCACTGCGCAGGGGCCCCCAACCCGGACCCTGACCGGCCCAGCTGGCCCTGCCCCCCAGAGGGAGTCCTCCCTGGAGGGAAGCGGCAGCAGAAACAACACATGACAAAGTTAGAGCCCAGAGACCAGCACACGGCATGGCTAGGTACAGGCTGTAACATGACTGCCAGCTGTCCCAGAGACCGAGGCTGGAACCCAGAAGTCGAGCATGCTGCCAAGGGACCATCAAAAACGATCAGACTTCAAAAGGAAGCAAGTGCAACTTTTAGGAATAGTCATTTAGAATTAAACGGATGAGTGTATCGGCAGAGTAGACACAGCCAGAGCATCTGAGCTGGAAGAGGGCGCTGGAGGGATTGCCCAGAGGCAGCAGAGAGACACTGAGATGGAAAATACAAGAGAGCCCGGCCGGCCGGCGGGGCTCAGGAGCTGAGCGTCGACCCGTGAACCAGGAGGTCACGGTTTGATTCCCCGGTCAGGGCACACGCCTGGGTTGCGGGCTCCATCCCCAGTGTTGGGTGTGCAGGAGGCAGCCGATCCATGATTCTCTCTCATCACTGATGTTTCTGTTTCTGTAATCAAGAACAGAGCCCCAACTAGGAACAAGCTCAAGCATAGGACAGAATGCAGCAGGCCCTGAGGATCTTAAATCACCCAGAGAGAACAGACTGCCCCTTACGGGGTGCCCACCTGAACGCCCACCCTGGAGTCATGGGCAGAGTGCTGCTGTTCCTCAAGGCGTTCCAGGAGGAATTGAACAAGAGTTTCAGGAAAGGAGGAAGTTAAGGTGGTTCTAGGAACCAAAGGAAAGAACTTCAAGGACACATTTATTGCCAGAAAACTACCTCTTCAGTGAGTCTGCTCTGACGAATCATAAGCGCTGTCTCACTTTTCATATTTCAATTTTTCTTTTTTTTAAATAATTTTTTAAAATATATTTTATTGATTTTTTACAGAGAGGAAGGGAGAGAGATAGAGAGTTAGAACACCTGAACGCCCACCCTGGAGTCATGGGCAGAGTGCTGCTGTTCCTCAAGGCGTTCCAGGAGGAATTGAACAAGAGTTTCAGGAAAGGAGGAAGTTAAGGTGGTTCTAGGAACCAAAGGAAAGAACTTCAAGGACACATTTATTGCCAGAAAACTACCACTTCAGTGAGCCTGCTCTGACGAATCCTAAGCGCTGTCTCACTTTTCATATTTCAATTTTTCAAGGAAAGAATGTGTACCCTAGTTTGTACCAAGGGCCATGCCCAAGGGTCAGGGTCATATATTAAAGAAACCATTCCAAATAAAGGACAAAGTGTAAAATAATAATAATAAAAACCCTGGGCACTGGCCGAGCTCTAACCCGGTCTCAGGCTGGGCCGGACCCTGGTCTCAGTCTGAGCTCTAACCCGGTCTCAGGCTGAGCCTGACCCTGGTCTCAGTCTGAGCTCTAACCTGGGCACAGGC